AATTAAGGAAGATGAGCTATCTCCACCAAGCCTTATGAATATCAAAAAAAAAAAAGGTCTAACAATTTCTTAGTTGTTTAATGTTAAGGAATGTGGGATGGGAAATTGAGAGGGGTTTGTTCATATTTCCCCTTTTGAAGTTAGCTAACAATACCATTGTTTCTTATAAAACATCTAAATAATGTCAAGACTTAAAGTCCAGAGGGAGAAGTGTTCCTCAACGGGTATAAATTGCGCAAGGGTAAACATAGGAGACAAGCTAATATATTTGCTTGCAAGGGTACTTCTTTTCCTATGTCGTACTTAGGCATGCCTTAAAGCCATAACCCTATATTGTCTTAATTATGGCATCCAATGGTTAATAAGTTTCAAAAAAGACACTCATCCAACAGAAAAGTCTTTTTCTCTAGGGAGAAGGCTCACCTTGATCAAGTCAGAAGGAGCAAAATTCTTTTATACTTTTTACCTCTTATAAAATTCTAAGGTCAGTGAAGGATAAGTTGAAGAAGGGTCCACAGAGACGTTTTTGTGGGTAAGGGAAGGATTAAAGACGAAGGTGGTCACATTTAGTGAATTAGAGTGTTGTAACAAAACCTTGCGAGGAAGGTGATTTAAGGATTGAGAACTTCGAGAGTAAGAATTTCATCTTTCTCGCTTAATGGTTGTGATAATTCCTGCTAGAACTTCAACCCTCCTTGTGGCACCAAGTAATTGTGAGACGGGACTCATTCAAATAGTAGGGATTTCAATTTAAATTCTACGAGCACTTCTAGAAACCCTAGAAAAGTAATCCCACTGCCACCCAAGCCTGTTGTCTTTCACAGAGTCAAACAACTTAATGTTGGGTTTGTAAGGTGAATGCAAACAAAGTCCGACATTGGCTAGGGAAGAGCATGATTCATGGTATATAAAAGAGAACAATTTTCTTCATTGATATGAGCCATTTTTGGTGAAACCAAAAGTAAAACCGTGAGGGTTATGCCCAAAGCAGACAATATCATACCATTGTGGAGATATGTGAGGTACTCAAGGTACCGCTGTCCTCAACACTTAATTCTTACTATTTTTTTTTTATAAGAAACGACACTTTCATTGAGAAAAATGAAAAGAGATACAAGAAGCACAAAAGGGACCTACAAAAATAGCCCAGAGAGAAGGAGACCGTTAAAGAAACGGACTCCAATCCAAAAGAATGAGGCCTAACGGATAATTACAAAAGGCCTTAAAAACATAGCCCCATAAAGAAGTATTAAATCTAATGAGATCTCATACATAGTCAACAGATCTCTCCACCTCCCTAAACAGCCTATTATTTCTCTCTAACCAAATACCCCAAAGAGAAGCCATAAAACAGGTCTGCCACAAAAAACGACCCCTTGTCTCGAAAAGAGGGTGTAACAACACCTCCTCCATCATCCCTCTACAATCTCTGGAACGGACCCAAGACAAGCCAAAGCAATTAAGGAAACGGAACCATACATCTTGAGCAAACTGGCAATTCCATAACAAATGCTCCAGATCTTCCGATGCATTCCTACAAAGAACGCACCACTACAGGCCAAGCAAAAGAGGACATCTTCTGGATACGATCTAAAGTATTGACTTTTCCAAGTAAAACTTGCCACCCGAAGAATTTAATCTTCTTCGAAATCTTAATCTTAATTCTTACTGTAAAGGGTGGCTAATGCAAAAACATGACAACAAAATAAACTAGACACTGATCTTACTGTATATTTCAGATGAAATGATCATTGCTAATAACATGATTCAACAGAGATCCCTACATGCATCATAGTCAATATTTGCCCTATCTGGGAGATGGTTAGAAGATGAATACTTATCCATCCATTGCCCCTTCTTCATTTGATTTCAAGGGAGCTACCAACCTCTTCCTTGATGATGGTTTTGCCATCAAATTATTTTTCCTCCAAGGAGTAATGACAATACTTTGGTTACTTGAAATTTGGAGAAATGTTGTGTCTGCCGCTTTCTAAAATATTTGAAAGTTAATAAAACAAATTCATTTTCATAGGTATAACATTCCAGATAGTCTTAAACTTAATTGCATCCCTTTGGAAGGTGTTAACTCAATGCCCTCTTTCACACTTAATTTCCCTTTCTTTCATTACGACTAGTTGAAAGTTTTTTTCACAGTGCTCAACCCTTTGAACAGTTATTCATAAAACAACATTGCAGAATAAAAGAAAGTATTAGGATGCAACTTATTATACTAGAAATAAATACTAAATTGGGGCCTTTTTCCAACAGGAAGAATTATGCTTCTGTTTGACGATATGTTAAGTTGAGAGAGAGAGTGTGTGTGTGTGTAAAAAAATGTCCGAAGACAAAAAATCAGTCCAACAAAATCCAGCACACTGAACTAATACGATAAAGGGAGATTAAGTCTAGCCACAGAATTGCATGCTAGATTTTGTCTGATGGAATCTTCAATTAAACACTGGCACGGGTTGAATTATGAATCATTAAATAATAACAAAAAAAAAAGGTTCTAGAGGTTTGATGTGTGCAACCCAACTTGCCTTAGAAATTGCCTTCAAATCTGGTCGCTTAGATTTGTTCTTTGCGTCTTCTACTGGAGCCACCTTCTGTACATTTAAAATAATAAGATGAATGTGGAAAATCATGCTGACAGGCCATATGATAACCTGTCTCGCTTAGACGGATATTTTTGGATTGAAAGAAAGACAGCCAGCCCCAAATAATCCGAAACATAAAGATGAGAGAATGATTTGAAACCACGGGGAAAAATCCCAATTCAAAGTTTAATGAGGTATCTATAAATTATTGGTGCTTCGATTATCTTACATGTGATAAGTAATGGACAGACGATTCCTTTCGTAGGTTAACTCAGATAAGGACTATTTATGACTTGCATGAATTGCAGAAGACCTGACACAAATGCCTACCTTAGATTTTGACCCTTTGGAAGCTTTTTCAGCTACTTCGGCTTTCTTGCACCTCTTTTCCTCCTCCTTTTGGTTCAGATGAACAAACAAAAACCAACAGTCAGCTGACTACAAACTTCAAACAAATCTTCAAAGTGACATTTCCCCACGCGACAAACCTGTACGAAATGAAGATAGTGCTTGTTGAACAACCTGAGAGTCTCCTTCACCTTGACATGGTCACTCTTCTCAACCAAACTAGCCGGAGCGCCATCAACAAGGGCTTTACTCTTTTCCGGTGAACACATTTCCCTCGGCTCACTCGCGTTGTCGTCTTTATGTTTAGTCACATCTTTGGATACCGAAACAACATTGTCATTGTCATTATCTTCCGCCGTCTTGCCCCCATCACTCACAGCATTACGCCGACTTCTCACCTGGTCATTCGTCTTCTTCCTTTTGCTCGCGCTGTCGGGCTTGTCAAGGAGCTCTACTCTCTGACGCACTAGTTGCTCCTTCTCTGCCAACAGCTTAATCTGGATTCGAGCACTCGTCCTCCTCGGGGGAGACGGCTCCACTGAATCTCCCTTCGGTGCTGCAACTTTAGCATTCTTCCGCCCATGCGTGGGTACTCTACTACGCTTCGGCTTCTCCTCAGTATCAACCGGAGAATGCAGCTCTCCATTAGCGGCAGAGCGTAGCACCCGCGACTTCACCACCATGTTTGAGCTCAAAAAGTCATCAATCTGCAAGAATACACAACAACAACAACGGATGAATAAAGCAAAAGCTAAAACAAACGAAAGGAAAGTGAAAGGCGCCATTGAAGAAGAGGGAGAAGTAGCGGAAATACGCACAGGAAGTGGTGAATGGCGAGTTGAAATGCAGCGAGAAGAGGATCGGACCAGTGGAGGCTCCGAGCGTAGAGGTAGAAGAAGAAGAAGAAGAAAGGGTTTAGTTTAGGGATTCAGAAATGGCGCGAGCAGTTGAGAGTGAGAGAGCGGCTGGAAAAGGGAGTGGGGTATTCAATTCATTTCTACAGCTGCAGTCCCGATGGATGTACGGACAGTGATTCGTGATTGGTGAGTGGGCGAGTTTCGCGCTGCATTTCGTGTGCCAAATTCGGCGATTCCCGCTTCCCATTTTTCGATCGTCCCCTCGTAGTTCCTGAAGGGAAGAGAGAGAGCCGGTCATCATTGGACGACGACAAACAGTGGAACCCCAATACTACGGTTCGAACCGGACACTTTTCCATTTAATTGCAATTCTATTTTTAATTTCGTTTTTTTTTTCTGACTCGTTTTTAAAATATATACTCGATTTTGTAAATCCCTCCATCTTTTGTCTTTTGAAATTTCTCTCGTTAATTTTTTATTAATTATTTAAGGAAATTTTATCTATTTATAAATCTAATATTTAAGTTGTTATTGCAAGTTTTTTTTTAAAAAACAAATTTGCTCTAATCCTTGAAAAAACCGACCTGGAAGAGACGACCATTTTTTGGTTTTAAAAACAAATTATTAAAAAAATTAGCTATGCATCATGTTGGCACCATGTGTTTTATGATCGTCGACTATATGTTGAGGTGGTTTGGTCGTCTAAGAGACGAAAGTGGTGGTCCAAAATTAAAATATCTTTATATTTTTTTAATACGTTTCAAATAAGGATTATTTCAAAAATAATATTTAAATAATACATTATTTCAAACAAAAATCCACATTATTTGCCTCTTTTTGCTCCTCCCTACTTTTATTCTCATCAACACGACATCTTTTAGAGATTGTTTCATAGAGTGTTGAGTTTGACATCTTAAACCAACTCTATATTTGGTTTATGAGAACCGCTTTTTTAGTATAGTCACGTGGGCAACTCACTTTATAAGTGATAAGTTGCTTGTGCAGTGTATGCAAACTCTGTGCACGAACATACTCAATTATGCTATAATCCTCTTTTAAATTTTATAGTTTCTTTCACATTTCTTTTCATACTTAATCAACTTAATCCAGACAAGTTTCATTTAGTTGTTACGTCATTCTATATTCTTCCACGTAAACTTTCCGATTAAAATAGATATTTGCTGAAAGAATGTGTTTGAAACGTTTATGAAAGATAAATGGTAGTATCGAAACTTTTGAAACACAGGCAAAGACAAAATTAAGGGGTATTTTTTATAATTTAACCGAAAATATATAGAGTAGATATTGTCATAAATTAGTATGAAAAAATATTTAATATTTTTCCAATATATATTGCAAATCTTAAGTATATTGTAAAGAAAAACGTGGATGTCAATTTTAAATATAAAGTATATGGTGTAAAGAAAAATATGGATGCTGTGAAACACAAATAAAATAGACTTATCAAAAAGGTGATTGAAATACCAACAAATTTTAACAGCCTCGAGCCTCATAGACGATTATAACTCATACAATGGGTAAAGACAATTAGAACATACTGAAAAAGTGCACCATAATGAGAAAATGCAATGCAGTCAATCATCAACCATCACAAGTCCAATTAGTTGACCTGGATAACCAACGTCTTTGATTTATTTGAATTACTCATTCTACTTTATTTTTATGTAAATTTTTAAAATTAAAAATAAGATATTAATAATAATCAACCAAAAGGAGCATAGCCAAGCAGTAATATCTCAAATATGAGTTTGACCCTCATCCTACATGTTTTATTAAAAAAATAATTCAAAATCATAATCTAGATACATCTCGATAATATCAATAGAAAAAACTCAGACTCCTAAAATTGAGGATTAGAAGATTCTATTATACGCACCTAATAATTTGACAAGTGTTGACTTTTAACTTTTCCTATTATTTTATTAAAATTCATCAATTCATCGATATCTCTACCAGGTCACGTATCTTTTAGATTTTTTTGTTTCCCTCGTACAATCTCTCACTTTTTTTCCCATCTCCTCTCATTTTTCTCTCCCCTATAATATCTAGTGTTTTCTTTTTCTATCTAGCTTTAATGCATCCTCTCCCTTTTTAGTTGACCAATTTTATGCAAAAAAAATATACTATTTGCTACAAAAATGGCTATGAACACAACAACAAAAAAATTACATCTAAAATTAGAGAGCAATTAAGCATAAAATGAAGCAACAAAAGAAGAAAGAAAAATAAAATTAAGAGGTATTTTTTATAATTTAACCAAAAATATAGACTGATATTGTCGTAAATTATTATAAAAAATATTTAATATTTTTCCAATATATACAGCAAATCTTAAGTATATTGTGAAGAAAAATATGGATGTCAATTTAAAATATAAAGTATATATTGTAAAGAAAAATATGGATGCCGTGAAATACAAATAAAATAGCTACACATTTCAAAAAGGCGTATGAAATACCAACAAATTTTAACAGTCCGAGACCTCATAAACAAATATAACTCATATAATGGGTAAAGACAATTAGAACATATTGAAAAAGTGCACTATAACGAGAAAATGCAATGTAGTCAATCTTAGATCATCACAAGTCCAATTAGTTGACCCGATAACCACCGTCTTTGATTTATTTGAATTACTCATTCTACTTGATTTTTATGTAAATTCTAAAAATTAAAAATAAGATATTAATAATAATCCGCCACAACCAACATAGCCAAGCAGTAATTGTTATATATCTCAAATGTAAGTTTGATACCTCATCCTACATGTTTAATTAAAAAAATTAATCCAAAATCAAAATCTAGATACATCTCGATAATATCAAAAGAAAAAGCTTGACTCCTAAAATTAAAGATTAGAAGATTATGTTCTACCAACCCAATAATTTGACAAGTATCGGTTTTTAACTTTTCCTATTATTTTATTAAAATTCATCAATTCATCAATTCATCAATATGTCCGCCTGTATCTCTCACGTTTTTTTTGTCATCTCCTCTCCTTTTTCTCTCCCATATGATATCTAGTTTTTTTTTTCTATCTAGCTTTAATGCATCCATCATTTTTAGTTGACCAAATTTATGCAAAAATATACTATTTGCTACAAAATGGCTATGAACACACGAAAAAAAACACATCTAAAATTAGAAAGCAATTAAACATAGAATGAAGCAACAAAATAAGAAAAAATAATAAAATTAGGAGGTATTTTTTATAATTTAACCGAAAATATATATCGTAGATATTGTCGTAAATTATTATAAAAAATATTTAATATTTTTCCAATATATATTGCAAATATTAAATATATTGTAAAGAAAAACATGGATGTCAATTTAAAATATAAGTATATTGTGTAAAGAAAAATATGGATGTCGTGAAATACAAATAAAATAGCTACACCTGTCAAAAAGGTGTCTGAAATACAAAAAACAGACTTTATAAACAGTTAACTCATAAAATGCGTAAAGACAATTAGAACATACTGAAAAAGTGCACCATAATGAAAAAATGCAACGTAGTCCATCTTGGATCATCACAAGTCCAATTAGTTGATCCTAGATAACCACCATCTTTGATTTATTTGAATTACTTATTCTACTTGATTTGTATGTAAATTTTTAAAATTTAAAATAAAATATTAATAATAATCGGCCAAAACCAGAATAACCGAATAATAATTGACATATATCTCAAATACGAGTTTGATCCATTACCCTACATGTTTAATTAAAAAAAATCCAAAATCAGAATCTATATACATCTCGATAATATCAAAAGAAAAAATTTGACTCCTAAAATTTAGGTTTAGAAGATTTTGTTCTACGTACCTAATAATTTGACAAGTGTTGGCTTTTAACTTTTCCTATTATTTTATTAAAAATTCATCAATTCATCGATATCTCTGCCACATATATTTTTAGTTTTTTTTTGTCTCTCCGTACAATCTTTCACTTTTTTTTCTCTCCCCCTATAATATGTAGTTTTTTTATATATATAGCTTTAATGCATCCCCTTTAAGTGACCAATTTTATGCAAAAATATACTATTTGCTACAAAAATAGCGATGAACACAAAAAAGTTACATCTAAAATTAGAAAGCAATTAGGCATAGAATGAAGTGACAAAAGAAGAAAAAAAGATACTTGTTTAAGTGTGGGACTGCTATATTTTGGAAAAAAATGACATTCTAAAAAAAAAATTAGCAAATGGAGGAAAAGATAAGAGATGCATCACAGAATACTAAGTTGGTAAAAGTATGTTAACATTTTATATTCAATAATAAATCAAAGAAATATTACCTTTGCGAATATATATATATATATATATAAAATGATAGGATATGAATAGTTTTGTCTTTATTTATAAAATTTTAAAACTATAGAATTTAAATAGGGGAATAGCAAACTCTCTACCTGAACATACTCAATTCTGCTCTAATCCTCTTTTAAATTTTATAGTTTCTTTCACATTTTTTTTTCATACTCAATCAATTTAATTTAATTCAAACAAACTTCAATTAGTTGTTACGTTATTCTATATTCTTCCACGCCAGCTTTCCATTTAAAATGAATGTTTGCTGAAAGAATGTATTTGAAACATTTATGAAAGATAAATGGTAGTATCGAAACTTTTGAAACATAAACAAAGACAAGATTAAGAGATGTTTTTTATAATTTAACCGAAAATATATACAGTAGATATCGTCGTAAATTATTATATTGCAAATCTTAAGTATATTGTAAAGAAAAACATGGATGTCAATTTTATCGTGTAAATAAAAATACGGGAAATACAAATAAAATAGCTACACCTATCATAAAGGTGTTTGAAATACCAAAAAATTTTAACAGCTTCGGACCTTATAAACAATTATAACTTATACAATGCGTAAAGACAATTAGAACATACTAAAAAGTGCACCAGAATTGGAAAATGCAATGTAGTCAATCTTAGATCATCACAGGTTCAATTAGTCGATCCCGATAACCACCATCTTTGATTTATTTTAATTACTCATTCTACTTGATTTTTATGTAAATTTTTAAAAATTAAAAATAAGGTATTATTAATAATCCGCCGTTGTGCCTAAAAAAAGAACCAAAACCAGCATAGCCAAAAAGTAATTGACATATATATCAAATATGAGTTTGATCCCTCATCCTACATGTTTAATTTAAAAAATAATAAAAAATCAGACTCTAGACAGATCTCGATAATATCAAAAGAAAAAACTTGACTTTGGTTAAAAGCCATGCACTCTATCAGCTAAGCTAAGATGGCTTCTTGCTATGTTGGATTTCTAATTGTTCTTGTCACTTTTATTTATTGGTATTTTGTAAAAAATATTTAAAATTTATTTATAATTATTTTGCTTTTGTCTTATTTTAATTAAACATATCTGGAATTATAAAAAGGCAGAGAATCGATAACAAGGAAAACAAATATTATCGTCTGGGTGCGCCAAAAAATAACAAGAAGCCGGAAGATAATTTGTCGTTATACTGGTTATGTCATTGAATGATTTAGACAGAAATTCAATATATATCGCGCCGTCTGTGGGAATCGAACCCACGACCACATGGTTAAAAGCCATGCGCTCTACCAGCTGAGCTAAGACGGCTTGTTGTTACGATGGGAGCTCATATTATGATATAGATTTATTACATATTTCTGTTTGCCGTTTTTTTTAAGATTTAAAAGGAAAAGGGCAAAAAGAATTGTACGTGAATTATAGAATCATCGAATTATTCATAGGTTGGCTATATCAATGCTTAAAGATTCACAATTTACCAACATAGATGCTTATTAAGTTAATTCAAGCATAGAGTTAAACACCTAAGATATCTATTACTATTTCAAACGTGATAGTAGTTTCAACTTTGAAATAACTAAAAAGAAACCTAATCTAAGAAATTTAATAGAAGAACAACAAATACGTTTTAACTAACATGCAATTTTGTTATGTTTATTAAGACTAAATGTTAAGTATCGTCATTTGTTTGATTAGAAAATTGACCAACACTGTTAACCTCGACTCGACATTGAGAGCGACTCGAAGGATGATCTGAAAAATGAACCAGGCTGGTGACCTGCAAAACATAACACACAATCTGATGCCTAAATGAGTATCTGACCGAACTAAACTCAAGAGAGGATCTAGGATTCACGCGTACCTTCGAACGAAGCAAATAAGTTATATTTATAGGATATGTCTCCAACCGTGTTTCCAACAAGGCCTCAACGGTATTTTAAAGTTGTCGTGAAATGCAGCGTGATGTCGTGGAGTCTATCGGAGACGAGGTTGAGCTGAAGCAAGATCAATTGATTCAACCAATAGTTGGGAACGAGATTTCAATTAAGCTTGATCGGCTTGAACACCAAGGAGGTCGGCTCGATCATAGGAAATAAGATCGATGTGGTACAACCTGAACCGTAGCATCGCATGTCACATGTAATCTCTATAATCCAATTGTTATGTGCCACGTGTATAATTTTAAAGTTTAGTTTTTTGAGTGTTTAGGCTTCAAAAAGTAAAATTGTATATGAATTTTGATGGTATTATTGAGGATTACATAATAAAAAAAATGTTTTATATAACTCAACTGGCCAGTGAGACGAGATAATTACTAAGATTTTGTTTTTAAATAAATATCTTGTTTTATTAAACAAATGTTTATTTAATTACTTAATTTATAAGGTATAATTATCTCAAATATATATATATTAGGGGGTGAATAGAGAATAATACGTATATATATATTAAGTACATGTATATATAAAAATGATAATATAATTATTTTCGTGTGTACATATAAATATTTAAAAGAATGGCATGGGACAGGAAACGGGGAATACGAGGTGGTGCGGAAAATTTTTCTCATATCTGCCCCACGGAAATTTAAACGGAGATTTTCCACCTCATGTAAGTGGGTCTACGTGGGAACGATGCTCCATATAAAAAATTAACAATCATACTAATACATGTATTGATTGTTATCATTTTTAACCACACATGAGTTTAGCTCATAGTGATAATTGACATAACAAGCCTTTAACCCAGAAGTTATGAATTCGAACCCTCCACTCCCACTTGTTGTACAACCTCAAGGGAATGAGTAAGTGTTAACAACGAGTTAACTGTTCATATTGGGTGATGGATACCTTTTTAGTCTATATGCTCACTTGTTAATAAATTATTGTTACAATTTTAATAGGAATAAAATAATGATATACAATTTTGTGATATCCAAAATTTGTATCTAAATATTTAGAAATAGACTGTAAATTAATAAATATGAAGATGAGGTTTCGAAAAATGAAAATACCGTTAAATTTGAGGTAGCGACGATATTTTCAGATATCTCACGACAAAAGACGTGTCAATCGGTTAATCGAGGCAACGGCAGCAGCAGAAACGCCATTTAGAACGGGTCCGAATCTGCATCATTGGCCGCGGTTCCATCGCCTCGCCTATCTTTACAGACAAGAGAAGGCGAGGATGGAGAAGTCATTTCACCATAAATAACAACGCTTAATAAATAAATTGGGAATTATTATTATTATTATTATTTTGAAAGGTAAATTTGGGAATTTTATGAGCCATCATCGGTTGTGTCGGTCGGCATGTCAGCCTGACCCACCAATCCACTCATCAAAATCCCACAATTCGGATTCATGGCTAAGAAAAAGCCACGCAATTATTTACTGTAGAAGCAATATAAATAAAGAAACAAAAAGGAAAATGAAAAAATAAGAAAAATAAAGGGCGTGCCATTTGGCAGTTGATTTTTATAAATATTTAAAATATAAAATAAATTCCGAAATTACCCGACAGGTGTGTAAAATACAAAACATCATTTGCCCCCGAAGAGAGCGGCCTCGCGGTCAGTTTCAGGGGAATTTTTACTGTTGAACGGTGGTCGAGTGGAGACGGAGAGGCAAATTTCTAGATTCAAAACCTAAATTGCAGTTTTTTATTGTCATTATTGAGAAGAAATTTGCGTCTGTTCATCGTAATTATGATCAGTTTTGGAATCGACTCAGACTGTTCGTGACACTGTTTCGGACGTTACAGTTTGCTGATTGGAGGTTTTTTTTTCCCTTCTTCTCAATTTCTGCCTTGTTTTCCAAGGCATGAATTGAACATTCTCATCCCGAAAACATCTCTCTCATATCAAGAATCTTACTGTCTTTTGCTTTTACGAAATTGTTTTCTCTCAGGTATTATTGTCGGTGTGGCTCCCCCCTTCTTAAGCAACTGGGGTACACTCGTTGAGCTCTACCATTCGTTGCTTCTAAACAATGGGGAAGAATAAAGAAGTAATTCGGCTGGAGCGTGAATCCGTCATTCCGGTGTTGAAGCCGAAGCTGATAATGACCTTGGCTAATCTAATTGGTTCGAGCCTCTCTCCCCTTTCAAATTGAAGCTCTTCTTTTAAGGCCAATATCATCTTGTGATTTACGGGTTTTTGCGTTTTCATGGATTTTATGGGTTATATACGTTTTTAGATTGTGTTATGTTCAGTCAGCAGATAGCTTTTATATAATTTCAATTATCCGTAATGGATATCCATATCATTAATTTTGTCCAGCAATCTGCTGTGCCATTGTATGATTCAATGCCTGCGTCTCTCCGCACTCCAATCTGCCCATTTCTGTCAATTTTGTTGCAACATCCATTTTGAGTAGGCTGGTGCTTGTGTTCTATTTCTACTGCAATTATTGTTGTCCACAATACTTTTGATGTGAACCATTTTCCTTGGCCCATTACTTTTGGTTTTGGGAAGAGTGTGCCCGAGTGGATGTATAAGAATGGTCACTATTCATTAATTTTTTCCTGACCTACGTGCTAAACTGAGATGAAAGATCCTAGAGAATTATGTTCCATTTATAATGGTGTAATCCACAGCTTTTAAGTTGCTAATCATTTCCTTGTTTTCTAGAACATAGTTCTGATCGGGCCGAATTCTTGAAACTCTGCAAGAGAGTCGAGTATACAATTCGAGCTTGGTATCTTCTACAATTTGAGGATTTGATGGTACTATTCTATGTTTTTCCCCGTCTCCAAGGGTAGAAGACCTTCGTCCACTACTAGTATTATGCTTGTGAGCCTGTATTGACTTGTATATCTGTTTCAGCAACTCTACTCTCTTTTTGATCCTGTTCATGGAGCCCAGAAGTTGGAGCAGCAGCATCTATCCTCTGAGGAAATTGAAGTGCTAGAACAAAATTTTCTATCATACTTGTTTCAGGTTTTACCACTTCCGCCACTTCCACAACTTCTTCTATTTTGTTTGCAGCAATAATTAGTTTCTCAATTTCAAACTGAGACTTGGGAGAATGAGATACTAAAATCCTACAAATTTTTTGACAACTAAATATTGTAAGGTTACGTGGATGTATCGTGAGACTGCTCTTAAGTTTGGCCCAAACACGTCACAGATATTAATAAAACCTATTTCTCAATTACTGTCTATGAAATATGGATAAGGAATTATGCAAGTATTTAGGTATTTGATATACCATTACTTTATGCCATTTCTAACTTGAGAAAGGCAATTTGCATATACTAACATACGTGATCATTTGTTTCTTGCTTGAATGGCTGTGTGGTTACTGAATAACCAGATTAAATCTTGTCCAGATTGAAATGAGGAGTATGAGGAATGGGCAACGAACGTTTGATAAATATTGTGAAATAGAATATAAATGCATTAGTGCAATGTTACAGACCCCACTAACAAGTTGTGGCATTTTGATTCACTATTGAAGTTGAACTCAAATACATTGTTTGAAATGTGTTTCTTTGGTTTCTGCTTCACTCGATCGATATTTTTGTAGAAATCTCACTGAGATTCAATTTGATGAGTTGGTTTCCCTCTTAACACTACTTCTAAGTGTAGATATCAACAGTTTTTTTAATGATAGGTTTCTTTTTTGACCTGATCCATCGAGGGAGTTCTCATGTAATTCTTATTTTAAGCATAATTTTTGCTTCTTCCAAACTTGTACTTATGACGTTTCATGTGACTTTATGCAAAGTACAAGGCCTCATATTTTGCCCGTTTCCCTCATGAGATATCTTTGCAAAATTTATTTAGAAATGATGAGTGATTGTTTTTTTCCTATATCAATTATGCTTGGTTAATTTAGTTTAAGGTTCTAAAGGAGCTTGAATTAGGATTCAGTATTTCTATAACAGTATTGCGTCATCCTGTAAGGATGATTTTGAGGGGAAGGTGTTAGTGAGAAGTAGACTTCGACAAATTGCATGTCTTTGCTGTTCTTTGGACATTTTGATGGAAAAAATATTTTTTTTGAGGACTTCAAAACTTCTTCCGATTCCAAAAGAGCTTTGTGGCTACACTATGAATTAGGAATGTTCAATACATGTTCTGCTCTTGTTTGGTCTCAAGGTTGGAGTGTAACTCTTAAGTTAGCTTATTATTATTAAGGATGTCTTATCCTCTGGTCTCTGGCTTTCTGCATAGTGTATACATGATTGTGCTCCCTTTTTTCAGTAAAATTTCTGCCGCTTATAGACAGAAGGAAGCATTTTGTTGTCAGATGATGGATTGGGCTTGCCTTGTTTGGTTTCTATAAGAGTGGAAACTTGTGATTAACCTTGGAAATAGGTTGGATTCCATGGGTTTCTGTTTATGCTTTATGGTTAAAGGTCTGAGACTTTAGGTTGTAACGTGAAATTATTGTCATGCGTTAACCACCATGGTTTGCCCTGTTTGTATTGGGGCATATGAAAAATAGGGACTTCGGTAAAATGAGTTAAAATATTATGGTGGCAACCTACCTAAAATATTAAAATTTTATGAGTTTCTTGATAACCAAGTGGTGTAGGGTGTTGTCTTTAGTAGAAATGCACATAAACTAGCTTGGACACTCATTTATATATATATATATGTATACATGTTGAATAATGAGACAACAATACCTGTTGGGTAATTTCAAAATATCTCTTAAATTTTTATGCAGGTTATGGAAAAGAGCAATTTCAAGATAACAAGTGATGAGGAGATCGAAGTTGCACTTTCAGGGCAATATCTCCTAAATCTTCCTATTACAGTTGATGATTCCAAGGTTTGTATTTAATCATGCATGTCTTAATATCTCAAATGCGAAATTAACATGAAAAAGACGAAAAAATTATTTCAGATGTGAATATAATATTCTTTCTTCAAGATCTAGTATTAATTAATTTATTTTTGTTAGACAATGACCTTTAGAAGAATATCTTGGTGGAATGCTCTAATTCATATGTGAATATGATAATATTCTTCGTACTATCTTCCTTGTTTATGATCTTATGTTTATCCCTTTACTTTGTAGCTGGACAAGGTTCTTTTAAAGAAATATTTCGCTACACATCCTCAACCCCACCTACCAGACTTTGTTGATAAGGTATATACTTCAATTAGCACATAACTTCCGAAGCTTATTAGCACATAACTTCCGAAGCTTTAAAGTTTCTTCAATTTGATTTTAAAAGGTTGTTCTTGACTCTTGAGCTTTCCAATTATTATGTTTGCGATTTGTGATTTAGTTGCCAATATCTGGCTCTATTTCCTCCCTTCAACCCCCATATTTTTGTAGGTCTGACTATCTACGCAGAGATCCATTGAAATGGAAATCAGGCTAGAATCATAGTTCTGAACTACCTTTGTTGTATTTTTAAAGTTTGTCGTGTGTTGTGCAAAATGTGTTGTACATGGTTAGGGGATGTTGTTTATAGTTTTATGAATGGGGTGTTCATGAACGGTATAATCCTTTGCAATCGTTTAACCCTATACTCACTATAAATAAATACAAGCCTCTGTCTCTCATTCATCTGTATCATTTTTTTGTCAGTATGTCATCTCTAACCGAGAAATTCGAATCTCTCTCTCTCATATGTATCATTTTTTGTCAGTATGTTGTCTTTAGGCGAGGAATTGGAATTGATCGAACAACTGATTTCTTTTTCATGGAGAAAGTAGACATGCTTATTGGAAGATTTTGGGCATATCTTTTAAGGTTAACAAGGTAAGTTAATACTTGAAATCAATAAATAATTTATTTCATTTACCATTTTTTAGTTGTAGACGTGTTGATAACTATGGGTATGTTTGGTTGATGATTTGAAAACAGAAATTTGAAAATAAGGGATTCAATGAAAAACATAGCTGTTTTCTATGTTTTTGGTAGAAGTTTTGAAATTGAATCTCAATTTAAAAATATAAAACATTTACATGTTTAGTTGTAGACGTGTTGATAATTATGGGTATGTTTGGTTGGTTATCTAAAAATAGAAATTTAAAAACAAGGGATTCAATGAAAAAGAGAGTTGTATTCTATGTTTTTAGTATTATTAGATATGTATTTGGTAGCAGTTTTGAAAATTGAATCTCAATTTAAAAAAATTGTTCAAGTTGTTTAATAATATATTTGTAAACTAGTGATGGTTACCACTTACCATCTAATATTTAGTTTAATCTAAAATATCATTAATTAATAAATTAACATATATGTTATAAATTTGGTAGATTTATTATTTTACAATATTATATAATTTATAATTATTATATTTTACATGTTTTATTTTTGATAACATGAAATAGTATATTTATCAAAGTTTTATTTATTTATTTTTAAATGTAATTTGATATTTTAATGCTTTAAAATCAAAACTTAAAAATATTGAAAAATGAAAATATTATGTTAAAATCAACTTAAAAAACAATCTACCTAACACATTTTCACGAAATCCATGTGATTCAGGGAATCTGGAAACAAGAGACGACATTTGGATTGTATACCAAAGAAGCCCTATATAATTTGAACTATTTTATTTGTGTTCGTGAAACACTTAACATCACTAAATTATGTTGCATAATTTTGTTAGAATAGGCCGCAGATCTTGCCAATTGCCATCATCAATAGTTCATAGTTGGGTATCATGAAAAGTAGATTAACTCGACTTTCGAAATTTGCTTTTACTATAAAACTAGTGCTTGAACACCATTTAAAGAATTTCTGTTTTTTGTCCTTTTGATTTGTGTTCTTGCAGGCTGGAAAAGATTTTCTCCAGACGGCCAAGTAGACGGCATATGGGAGATAGGAAGAAGAATGATGATATTCCTCCTGATGCTGATAATGCCGATTTATATGTTGAACGAATTCGTCTGGAGAATATGGAATTGAGGTTGTGCATAGTTTCTTACAATTGATGCCTGAATGCATTTGGATCATGCTTATGTTTATGAATTTTGCATCCTTACCAATTTTAGACCTTGGACCAACACATTCGGGGCTAACATCAAATTTTCAGCCTCCCAAAGTGGTCATTCTCATTGAAGAAATGAAGCTTGAACTTGTTCTGTCTAATGTTATATCAATCCTTTAGGCCATTGAATATCATAGATACATGTGGTATTATCATGCAGGCTTTGTTCTTTTTAGTTTTGTATAAGTTTTGCAGGCTTCGACTTCCTTTGGAACTGTGATAAATGTCAGTTAATATTGGATCAACTTCGTTCTTTCCCCATTACTATCTTTTTCCTCTCCATTATTATTGTTTATACATATATATCTTTTTGACAAGGAAACAGAAACTTTCATTGATAAAATGAAAAAAATACAAAAGATTCATCACATGTTGTCTGGGGGTTAGTTAAGACTAAGAAAAATGTAGTCACTCATTTAACTTCCTAGTTCTTTTCAGTACTACTTACTTGAGGTCAGACATGATATCCTAATGTCTTCATTTCATGAATGGAGAGGATTAATGACTTAGAAAAGGAAAAGAGAATAGAGTTTCATATTGTTCCATCTGAAATTTGTTCTTCTTTCCTTTTGGAAGATTTAACTCCCTAAATTTTTCTTCGTGTCTTTACAGTGCTCGCAATATGCTGGGCAAGATTACTATTCAAGAACCTACCTTTGATAGGATTATTGTAGTTTACAGGTACTGATCTATTGCTTGGAACTATGGTGCATCATTCTTTTTTTGAAATTACATTTTAAAAGAAGTTGAGTAGGATCTGATTACCATGTTTCATCCTTTTTTTGGCTAACTGAATTGGAAGTCTTGGTTCAAGGTCATACTGAGGGGTCTATTTAATTACATTGTGGAGTTTGTAGTCTTTATTGACCTGAAGGGTATAAATCGATGAGTTTGCCTTGCTATTATAACGATGTTAATCAGTTACATATTAGTGGAAATGTCATTAGACTTTTATTACTAATAATAATCAGCAAGCTTTTCAGATTTTGTATGGAAGAGTATCTATTGCCATTCTACTGATTCTTTATTAAAATGTGTTTTTCTATTATTCTGAAATATAGTTCGTTGACATGTAAAAGGTATGGTAATTATTCAGGCGAGCAAGTACAAAGTCTAAACCTGAACGTGGAATATATGTCAAGCATTTTAAAAACATTCCAATGGCTGATATGGAAATAGTACTTGTAAGTTAATGCTCTCTATTTTTTAGGTCTGTGTCTATGGTTGTCTGTCTTTTTCTTTTTCTTTTTAATCTTTTTTCCTTTTGACAAGTATGTGTTTAGTTGTTGAAGTTAATTATCATTCTCTTTTGATTCGTGAAAAGTAACTTTTTGTGACAGCCTGAAAAGAAAAATCCGGGACTGACTCCAATGGACTGGGTTACGTTCCTTGTATCGGCTATAGTTGGGCTGGTTAGTTCTGAGGAAGATTACGTAATGTAATATTGTTGTTATTATATTCTTAATATTGTTGTTTATTTGTTCTTACTGTGTATATTTTTAGGTTGCTGTTGTGGGTTCAATTGAAATGCCCAAGGCTGATTTTTGGGTCATTGTCGCTGTTCTCTCTACAGTTATTGGTTACTGTGCAAAGACATATTTCACGTTAAGTACCATTCTTTATTCTATGCTTAGTTAATATAGATAATTAACTTGTAAACCTACGTATTGCCTCTGCTTGCTTATTAGTATAAAATATAAATGTCTGATTGACCATTTTTTGGATGGTTCCAGGAAGATAGTTTCTACTTTGCAGCAATATGTTAATGATTGTGTACCTTAATCATGCTATGGTTCATTTTCGATGCTGAATCTAGCTGCAGAGATAGTGGACTCTGCTCTTCTTGATTTGACATAGCCCTTGATCCCTTGCTATGTGTTTTACACTTGTATAACTTGCAACTGGGAGGCCGTTGCAAATAATGCACTTGCTTTGATTTTCAGTTCAGTACTTTCTTGATTTCTCAAATGCTTGTAACAGTTTTGGGCCATTCTTCTTAAACCAATAGGTTTCAGCAGAACTTGGTTACTTATCAGAACTTAATTACACAATCAATGTATGAAAAACAGCTGGATAGCGGAAGGGGTACACTTCTTCATTTGTGTGATGATGTGATCCAGCAGGAAGTAAGTATTTTATGAATTTCTTGTCTGTCAAATGTGAGTATCATATGCGGACACGCATATTACTTTCTACATTTGAGAAAGTCTATATTTTTATTTTGACCATTTTTTTTATTCCATCTCTCTCTGAATCTCTGAAAGGAGTTGACACTCTTTTGTGGGTTTGTATCCTGGAAATTTTTTCTCTTTCAATGAAAGGTTGTTTCTGGTTAAAACGCAGAGAGAAAATAATGGTGAATGTGTATATAATAATTGCTCTCTCTGTGAAATTATTCTGTAGATGCCTATTGGACTAGTTTTTCCTCTGGGGTTTGAAGGTTGAAAGGTTGTCTCTGGTTAAAACGCAGAGAGAAAATAATGGTGAATGTGTATATAGTAA